GCTAGCTAAATATTTAACTTGCTAGCTAAATATTTAAGTTGCTAGCTAAATATTGAAGTTGCAAGCTAAATATTATAGCTAGCTAAACATTTAAGTTAAACATTTAGGTAGCTAGCTATATATTGAAGTTGCAAGCTAAATATTTAAAGACCATGTAAAGTAAAAATAAATGTGTGTTCTGAGGTTGCCACACCACAGAAATATGTGTTAAAAAGCACTCAGCTAAGTTTAAACAATTAAAAATACTGTTAACCTTATAAAATGATGTGTTAAAAGTAATGAAAAAATATCAGTTAGCTGTGGTCTGGAACGCTGGGGGGCGTGTCCTCTGGAGGAGCTTAAACCACGCCCACGACCCTGAACATTCCTGTAACCGAGGAAACAATGTTTGTTTTCTTTTCCATTAGAGCAACAGGGGGCGGGGTTATACTGAAGGCAGCTGAGTGACATCACGAGGCTGCCCTTTAAGACACGCCCAAAAAAATCCTGAAACACAGATGCCTTGTTACACAAATTGAATTGTATCTCCACTATTCAAATATCTACAGTTGAGAGAATTTGTACTCATTTACAACAATCCATTTATGACATTTATAATGTTTGAAAAATAAAATGTTACATTTTACTTTACATGGTCTTTAAATATGGCATACAGACTAAGACAAGAAATAATGGTAAAGAAGAGAGAGAGAGAGAGAGAGAGAGAGAAATAACCGTTGTGGTATTCAGGACTGGCCATCAACCTGTTTCTTCAAAAAGACTTTGAAATGCTGTAAATCATTTTTCTTGTATTAGGGAATATAAATGTTTTACACCTTTTGAAAAAAATGCAAACTTTAAAAATTTGTTCAGATATTTCGACCTTCAGAATATATAAAAATAAAATGCAGTGAATACATTGGAAAGTATAGAACACAACTTCAAAAACAACTCAGTTAATTATTTTCTTTGTTTTACTTAATATGTCTGATTTTGAGCTTCCCAACAGCAACAATAAATCACATTTAATTAGTTTTGTTTGCCACTGAGTTTTCAAAGTGCAGCTGACATGTTTATAGATATTTACTGTATTATATCTTTTTAAAATGACAATATCAATTGGAAGACTTAAATAATGTATTTCTTGTTTGATTGTTTTTGTAATTAATTAATTAATTTGGTTTAAACTTTTATGTAATAATACTTTTCCCCCCTGTGGAAAGTTCCCAGGTGTGTGAAATAAAAGGATGAGAGCTGAAGTCATATTTAAGGTTCAAACCAACAAATCAGGACAAATTTAGGCTCACTTTTAGCCATAAAAACAAAATAACTGACTTAAGTTTAAAGGCAGTGGTGCATGCACATCTGTGTGTCTGTGCATCTTCAGGACTTTGCCCACTTGTGTTTTTACAGACAAGTAGCTGTGATAGAGCTGTGCCTTCTCCTCTGCCTCTCTGAGACTCTTTCCAACACTTTGCAATCCCTCAGTCCAATCAATGGACTGCTTATCAGGTCCTCTTTAGCCTCTGCAGAGTGTGGGTGTAGGTATGTGTGTAGGTTGTGATTGTAGGAGGAAAAAGAGAGAATGGGTGAAGAAAGAGCAAAGAAAGAGT